CAGCAGTGAGCGGCTGGAACGCAGCGATGACCCGAGGAAAGCCGAGGACGCACGTCTGTGGGTCTCCGGGATCTGCCTGGTGGGCTCAGGCCGCTTCCGGTGCGTGTCCGTTGCCGGAAGCCAGAGAAGCCCTGACCAGTACGGGGCCCCCAGAGTCAGGAGGGGTGAGCAGGGCGAGGCCACCGCCCGAGGCCTCCGTGGAGGCTGAGGGGTTCCCCAAGGCCACGCTGTGGCTGGTGACCGGGGGTTGGTCTCTGAGCTCCTGAGTGGCTGTCCGCGACGTCCATCCGAGACGTTGTTTCTGGGAGGATGGGGCGCTTCCCCTGACTCCTGTGCTCAGCCTCTGACTGACGAGGCTCCAGGACAGCAGGCGCCACAGGTGAGGGGAGGGGACGTTACAGGCTCCCGGGCTGGTGAGGGGGACCGAGGACACACCTCCAGACAAGCTGGGGAGTCGGTGCAGAGGGCGGCAGGAGCGTCCTGCTCAACTGTCTCTTAGACTCTGCTCCTGCACCAAGAGCTGAGCGCACGGCGCGGGATCCCAAGCATGGGCCCGAGGCCACCGCCCTCTCGTGACCTCTGTCTCAGCGGCGGGGCCATCCTGTGCAGCAGGCCCGGTTCTGACAAGCGTGTGTTCTCTGAGGCCTCTGTGGGGCTGGGAGAGGGACGTGTGGCCAGGGGTGGGCTGCGGGTGATCCGGTGCCTGTCCCTTGGGGTTCAGAGGGGCCACTCCCAGGAGGCCGTCTACAGGTGGCAGAACAGCTGGGGGGAGGGCAGCAGGCCTCCGGAGAGTCTGGTCTGGCCTGTACCTGGTCCTCGCTCCTGAAGGCGCTGCCAGGAGCTGCTTTGGGCTCTTCGGAGACACCTGGGGGCCCCTCCTGTCCGTCCTGGGGCCTAGGACGGCCCCCACACCAGCTCTGCTCCCGCCACCTCCCTCAGCCCCCTCTTCCTTGCAGAAAGCAGCCTGTGTTACATCCCTAAACTGCTCTGCCATACCCCGGAATCAAAGCAGGACCATCCAGGCATCGGCTGGTTCCTGCCGAGGTCTGATCCCGGCCCTCTGGGCACTGCTCAGGGGGGTGCAGTGCCCCCCGTCGCACCCTCCCCCCCACGTGCATTCCACACACCTGTGTCCTGGGCTGCAGGTGACTAACGGAATCGCCCAGATTTGCGAATCCAGCCAGGAGAGGGATGTGCAATGCTGACATCAGGCCAGCAGAGGGCAGTGGTTAATGCGGCCAGGAGGCCCAGCTGGGGCCCTGAGGAGCTGGGCCCTCTGTGGGGCGGGGCTCACAGGAGACAGCCCACTGCATGTCACCAAGGCCCAGGTCCCCCTCCCCAAAGGCCCTGAGGGGAGCAGCCGCGGGCGAGGCAGGAGAAATGGGGGGGGGGCGGCATGTGACTGAGCCACGGGTGAAGCTAGGACAGGAAGGACGAGCCCCGGCCCCCCGCACAGATGAGCGCAGAGGCAGATCCGTGGGTTCGGTGACTATAAAATTGTCAGGTGGGCTGAGAGACCCCAGAGTGTAATGGCACCCTGGCTGCCGAGGGGAGCGGAGGCCTTCCCACCACCGATCACCGTGGTCCGGGCAGCTCCTGTCTGTCGCCTTTCGGGGCCCTTCTCCCCCGAACCCCACTTTTTAAAGCTCTCTTTGCCGTCAGTGCCGAATGTAAAAACGAACAGCAGAGTCACCCCTCCTCTCTCCTAGCTGATCTCCGGGCTTTGCTTCCACCTTCCCCATCTCTGTCTGCCCCCCGCCCCCCACTGTAAGGCCAGGAGCAGGCGCCGGGCTGGCCAGGGGAGGGCCCAGAGGCTGCCCTGTACATTCCCAGTCCCCCCACCCTTTGATGAGCCTGTAGCCCCATCCGCCTGGGCCTCAGGGAGAGTCCAAGAGGGCCCCGGGCAGGGGCCAGTGGCCTGGCAGGGATCAGGGCCCCAGTGCCAGGTGGAGCTGAGGCTTGTGGCACGGAATAGAGGAAGAGCCTCTTGCAAGTCTCCTTTCTCTGCAGCCCGTCTCCCCTCGCCCCTGCCCCTCCAAAACCTCCTGGGCGCTCGCATGATGGCGTCGGCTGCCTGCCTGCCAGGGCTCGCCCCATGGGCTGCATGTGGCCCCCAGCTTCCCTTCCGTGCCGTCGTCCTCAGAACCTGGCGGCAGCGGTCAGCTCCCCTGGGGCGGTCGGGCCAGGTGCTTTCCCGGGGAAGTGCTCACCTCTCTCGGAGGGACTTCTCTCTGGGACACCTGGGTCCCCTTGGGGCTGATGGACTCTCACAGCCACAGAGGCCACCACTGGCCTCTCTGACTTTTATGTCCTTGGCTGGTGGGACCCGATGGCCACCACGGGGCAGGGCCAGTCACCGCTTCCATGTACCCAGTGCTGTTGGGTGCCTGGCACACGTGGGCGCCCTACGAATGTCTGCTGAGCGAAGGAAGACGCGACATTTGTCCGGGTCAGGCTGCGTCCAGCAGCCCCGGGCGTCAGGAGGCCTCGGGCTCCTCCCGTCGTGCGGTTATTAGCTGTCACCCCAGGTGACATCGTGCGGGGCAGGGCCAGTCACCGCTTCCATGTACCCAGTGCTGTTGGGTGCCTGGCACACGTGGGCGCCCTACGAATGTCTGCTGAGCGAAGGAAGACGCGACATTTGTCCGGGTCAGGCTGCGTCCAGCAGCCCCGGGCGTCAGGAGGCCTCGGGCTCCTCCCGTCGTGCGGTTATTAGCTGTCACCCCAGGCCACAGCATCATGTCTGATTGTCTCGTCTCCTGTGCCTCCTTCCAGGTGAATCCCGGCCTCACGATTTGTCTGCAAGGAGGTCCTGAGGTCTGAGCAGAGGCACCTGCCCACCGCTGTCCATCAGAGGCCAGGGTGAGGCGTTGACGGCAGGCGTCCCGCCCCCGGCTCCGCTGACCCCTTCTGAGCACACGCGGGTCACGGGCTCCAGGCGTGGACAGCGTGGCAGAGCAGCAGGAAGTGTGGTTTGGCTCTCGGGTCGACAACCAGCAGGCCCGGCCGGTTCCTTCTATAGGAGTCCCGGGGGCGCGGTGGGGAGTCTGCAGGGTCCCCCGCACCAGGGACGGCAGGGTATGGAACAGTCTGATGGCTTCGAGCAGGTGGCACTCTGAGCATGGAGGAGGGGCCCTGGCTGGGCCCTGGACGATGGTCTGGTCCAGCCCGGGGGGGCAGGTTGGGGGAGTTCACTCCCCAGAGAGCTCGCGTGATGCTGCCTACACAGTGGGGCGGGTAGTATTTGGATCCACGCAGCATCTTGGCAGCCAGGCTGGGTTAGGGGGAGGGCTGAGGGAGCAGAGTGGGGGGGGCACCCATCAAGAAGCCGGCAGGGTGGTGCCGGCCCTGGGCAGTGCAGAGCTGCTGGCCTCCTGCCCAGCCCCGCCAGCCAGCGCTGGGACGGAGCCAGCAGGGTCGGCTGGATGACCCCACAGCCCCAGCGCCGGGGTGGGCACGAGGAGCGTGTGGTGGGAGGGCAGAAAGGGCCGTGCAGCGCCCGGTCCCCGGGTTGGCCTGGGCCGAGGCCGCTCCCTGCCACGTTCCCTCCTACCAGGACAGCTCTGAGAAGTGCGGGGCTCAGCACTTTCTCCCTGGGGCTGCATTACAACCACATAATTGAAGCTATCTGATTGGAGGGCGGCCAAGCAGGTCGATTACAAGCGATTAGAAAGGAGAGGAGACAGCTCTGAGGCCCTGGGCCGCTCCTCCCGCGCCAGCCCTCCAGGCTCGCCCCCGGACACCCGCGAGCCCAGGCCGCTGGCCTCCGCCAGTTCCCTGCTTCCCACTGACAGGTCGCTGGTGGCCGAGGACAGACGAGGTGACAGTTTGGCCAACGTCAGGCTCAGGAAGCCCTGGGGTGGCTGGAGGCGGTGGGCCTGCTGTGGCGGGGTCACTGCCCCAGGACGCGGAGCCTGGCTGAGCAGGTGCCACCAGGAAGACGCCCGGTGTCACGTGACGGGGAGATGCCGGGCTGGGAGCAGCTTTCCTGGGGCGAGGACCCCCGCTATAGGCCCTCCCCTCATGTGATGCAGGGGCTCGCCAACTGCCCTCCCGAGCCACCCCTCTGGGCAGGCCCTGCCCCCCAAAGCCCTTACCGGCACTGTCTGCGCCCCAGCACCGGGCTGTGTGCTGGCCTCGGGGCCCGGCTGCTCGGGGTGGGTCTGTGCTGGTGTGTACAGGGTCATGCCGTGCTCTGGGGGGACTGGGGTCTGGCCGGAGTAGTCCTGCGTGGGGTGCGGCGGGGGCGGGGCGTACTCGGCGGGGAGGCCGTTCTGTGGCGGAGGGGGGTACTGGGTGGGGGGGTAGGGCTGGGCCATCGCTTCAGGCGGTGCCGTGGTGTCCTGGCTGCCCTGTGGAGGGAGAGAGAGCAGGCGGGTTAGGCTCCCGGGGACGCTGGACCCTGCCCCTGGTCTTACACCGGACCTTCGGCAGGATTTTCCGGGCCTCCCAGGGAGGGCCCCCCGCAGGGGGCACCAGCTCAGAGCGGGAGGAGGTGCCTGCGGGCAGGGGTGTCCGGGGAGCCCAGGGTCCGAGGCCACTTAGGCATACGGGAGGTTTTTTGTTCATCCACCTAATACAAAAAATTAAACGTTTCATTGTGCAGTGACTGGATTCGCATGCAGTTGTCAGAAACCGCAGAGCCCCTGTGTGCCCTCTGCCCAGTGTCCCCCAGCAGTGACATCTCGTGGAACCGTCACCGCCAGGAGACTGGCCTGGACCAACACTCCGGCAGCACCAGGGCCCCGCCCGCTGCCCCTCAAAGCCACACCTGCGCCCCTCGCCTCTGAGGGGTGCAAGCCCCGGTTTTCTCGCAGGTAGGAGGCGGAGGAGGGCGCCCGCAGCCTACATGATCATGGAGCCAACGTGACGGTAAACACGGCAGACGCGGCCCCCACGCTGGCCCTGTGGTGAGGTACTGTCGCCCGGGGACAGAGTCCCAGTCTGTCTCGAGGGTCCCTGAGAAGATTTCCCTTCCCTTCCAGGCCTGCTGTCCCGGGAAGGGGACAGTGCTCCCCGATGCCGACCCCAGCCACCGGGGGCTTTAGAAGGCCCGACCCCTGGCAGGGCCCAGCGATGGGCCAGGCAGCGGTTCCCCAAGTGGGGTGCCCAGGCCCCACGGCACAGATGTCACCTGGGGGCCTGTCTTGTCCTCACCCCGGACCTCCCCCTGCAACCTGGGTGCTGTGACAGCCATCGATGCAGGGAGTTATAGGCAGCCCTCGGCCTTGGAGAAGGGACTGGGGCCCTCGTGGTGTCAGAGGGCAGGTGGCTGGGGTGCGGTGCAGGCTCACAGCAGCCCCTCTGAGCAGGTGAGGCATCCCCTGGTGCCCCAGGGGACAGGTGCCATCTCTCCCATGAGCAGCCACCTGCGTGGAGGGACCTTTGCACAGACGTGGACAGCCTGACACCTTTCCTGCCGCCCTGCTGAGGGAGGGACCCTGTGCGTGACCCCACCTCCATCTCGCCCACCTGGCATGTTCTAAGGTCTCGTCCCCCCCACGAGACCAGTGCGTCTTCCCGAGAGCAAGCTGGGCCTCGCTCTCTGCCCTCTGCATTCACTTACGACTCGTTCACCTAACAACTGCTTACTGGGCGTCTGGGTGCCAGGAACGGGCAGTGCCTGTCCCTGTGTGGTCTGAGGTCCAGTGGGACAGTAAATTCAGACAGTCGCCCAGAAGTCCAAACAGCGGTTAGAGTGCGAGGGGCCTGAGGGGCCTGGGCACCCCAGGGTGGTAGCGAGTCACAGACCCTGCCTGCCTGCCCACCCCGCTTCTGGACAGAGGCTTGAGACCAACTCTCGGCCCAGCGCCCAGCCCCTCCCTGTCCCCAAACCCTCAATGCCAGCTTCCACGGTCTCAGTACTCTGAGGTGACCCCTGACACCCAATGAGCAGAAATCTTGTCCTTGTCCCCCTCCGTGAGTCCATGGAGTCCCTTCCCCTCTCTGTGCAGAAGCCGGGACAGCGCTCATGCTCTCGCCAACGGGAGGGACACACGCGTGTGCACGCACACACAAATGCACGCCCCATGCTGAAGGGCCACGCCTTGTTGCTCCGAAGTCACCCGTGAGGCCCCATGCGCCGTTAGCGGACGTACTGGTGACGTCTCCAGCTCCCAGTTGAGAGGGAGAAGCGTGGGCTCAGGGAGCGGAAGGAGGGGGCCCGGGCGGGTGGGCGCTGCGGCAGGATGGAGGGGCACCCAGGGTGGGAGGACGGAGGGAGGGGCAGGAGAGCCAGGAGGGAAGTGAGGGAAGGCGGGGTAAGGGAGAGGCAGCCTGCGAGATCAATTAACTGATAAATATTTGATTAGAACCTTCGCTAACTTACATCTTCCCAGCATCCCCTCTCCCCCAGCTCCTTCAAGACTCCAGAAAGGGAGGCTCCTCTCCCACCCGCCTCCTTCTCACCCTAGCCAACTTTCCCCAGTCCCCTCTTCCCTGGGTCCCAAGCGGGCTGAGTGACAGCTGCCAACGTGGATCCCGGGCTGGAGCCCAGAGCCCAGACTGTCGGGGAACCTGCAACACAAAGGTGGGGTCACCTGGGCGGTGTGTGTGGGGTACTGAGCGCCAGGGTCTGAAGGGGTCTGGCGTGGTCAGGAGGCAGCTGAGTTAAGACATCTAGGGACATTCGTGAGGTGACGATTAAGTCAGCACGTCTGAGCACGCAGCGCTCTCTGCTTTGCAGACGTGAACTTGTCTAATCCTCTCCAACCCACACTGGATGCCACAGCTTCCCCGTCTCACAGCTGATAACGCTGAGGTGACCTGCCAGGCTAGTGCCGGAGGACCTGGGGTGGCAGCTCAGGCTGCCTGGCTCCAAACCTACCCTCTGCTCCTCTGTGCACACCTGTGCCATGCAGACTAGAGTCTAGACCCTGGGATGCACAGGGAGGGTCTTTAATCCCGCACCCCCTTAGCCACCGAGTGGTCTTGGGCGTCTATTTATCCTCTCTCTATAGGTCTCCCAAACTGCAGGTGATCATCATGGTGCCCTGGACAGTGGAATGGGTAGCTGAATGGAAAGATGGATGGATGGATGGGCAGATACATGGAAGGATGGATGGATGGATAGAGAGATGGGCAAATGGAGAGAGAAATAGATGGGTGGAAGGATGGAAGGATGGAAGGATGGAAGGATGGATGGATGGATAGAGAGATGGGTGAATGGATAGAGAAATAGATGGATGGAAGGATGGAAGGATGGAAGGATGGATGGATGGATGGATGGATGGATGGATGGATAGAGAGACAGATGGAAGGATGGATGGATAAATGGGCGGTGGATGGATGGCTGGTGGATAAATAAGTAGATGGATAGATGGATGGATGGAAGGATGGATGGATGGATGGATAGAGAGATGGGTGAATGGATAGGGAAATGGATGGAAGGATGTAAGGATGGAAGGATGGATGGATGGATGGATGGATGGATGGATGGATAGAGAGACAGATGGAAGGATGGATGGATAAATGGGCGGTAGATGGATGGGTGGTGGATAAATAAGTAGATGGAGAGATGGATGGATAGAAGGATGGATGGATGGATGGAAGGATGGATGGATGGTAGATGGATGGGTAGATGGATAGAGAGATGGATGGATGGATGCATGGATGGAAGGATGGATGGATGGGTGGTGGATACATAAGTAGATGGATAGATGGATGGATGCATGGATGGAAGGATGGAAGGATGGAAGGATGGATGGACGGACGGACGGACGGACGGATGGATGGACGGATGGAGAGATAGATGGAAAGATGGAAAGATGGATGGATGGATGCGTGGATGGAAGGATAGATGGATGGACAGACGGACGGATGGATGGATGGATGGACGGATGGATGGAGAGATAGATGGAAAGATGGATGGATGGGTAGATGGATAGATGGGTTAAGGCTCGAAGACCATGCTCAGGTCCTTTCTCTGCCCTCCCTCTGCACACTGGTCCCTCTCTCCATCATCACATTCACCTGGCAAAACTGGTAAGACCGAGCCCTGCCCGCTCCACGCCGTGGCCCACACCGCTGGGGAAAAACACGAAATCGTCCTAAACGCTGCCCTGGAGGCCACGGACCGCCACGCAGCTCTCCTGCCCTGGGTGACCGCACCACGCCCCCTCGCCCCGCCAGACGCGCTCCAGTGTGCTCGTTCTTGCTTCCTGTTTTCCACGGAAATCAGAAGAGAAGGACCAGCTCCCCTGCCCGCCTACCTGCCTTGTGTCCCACAGGCTGCCTGCCCTCCAGGCCCTGGGGACAGACGTCCACGTTCCTTCCCATGACCCATCACTTCAGTGCAGACGGGGACCAGTCCTCGCCAGCACGTGCTATGCTCTGGTCACTCACTGCCATCTCTCCCATGACAAGAAAACAGAAGCCTCCCTGCCCGTCACCCCCGGCAGCTGACACACCAGATGTGCTGCTTCCCCATCGAGCGAAGCTTCTCGAGTGAGCTGCCTACACCGGGCCCCAGCTCCTTCGCTGGACCCATGCCGCCATTTCTCGGTGACGCCGGGCTCGGCCTTGCCGCTTGGTCCGCGGAGGCGGGGTGTGGGGGGACCCTCCATCTTCAAAATGCAGAGCTGAGACCTGCCAAGCGTTTCAGCCCACATCGCCGACCCAACGCACTCTCTGCCCGGCCTGACCCCCGCGTCCCCCAGCCGCTGTGCTCCGCCCTGCAGGGCGAGGGTCCCTAGTGTGTGGGAGGTGGCCGCAGAGCAGGGTGCCGGGGTGGGCGTGACGGGGGAGGGGAGAGCGGAAAGCAACAGCCCCACCCCCACGACAGCCCCACCCCCACGACGATTAGGCTAATGGCCTCTCTGGCTCCTCAGGGGAGGAAGGCACCACCTCCCTGGGCACAGAGCCGCTTCTGCCCCACCTCCGGGCAAAGGCGCTTCCATGCAGGGCGGAGGAGGGGAGCAAGGCAGAGCCACCGCCCCGCTAATGGAGCCGTCACGTGTGCCATCGCCGTCACCTCTGTGCAACCCCCCCACCCCCAGCGCCATGCCCCACACACCGATCTGTACCCAAGTCGCCAGCACCTACTGAGCCGCTGCTGTTGGCAAAGCACAGTGCCGAGCACTGGGGACACACCAGGGGGGACAGGCTGTGTTCACCCAGTGCCGGTGACGGGCGGGGCCTGCCCTCGGTGCCCTGCAAACTCAGCCGCTTGGTCCTCCCATGGCCTGACGAGGCAGACGCCCAGGCCGAGTTTCACAGAGCGGACAGACACAGAGGACACCGGCTTCACGGTGAAGGGGCAGGAAAGCCGCGGTCTCCAGGCCTCCTGAGCGCATCCCACCAGGTGTGAGGTGCGGATGTGGGGCACCGCACAGAGAGCCCCTGCTG